GCCCCTCACTTAGGAACACTGAGGCAAAGAACTCATTGAGGAGTTCAGCCTTGTCCCCCCTGTCCGTCACCAATTGCTTCTGCCCATTTAGTAGGGGTCCTATTCCACCCTGGGCCTTCCTTTTACTCCCTATATATCTAAAAAACAATTTCTTGTTATCCTTAACTTGGGATGCCATCCTCAGCTCCATGGTAGCTTTGGCCCATCTAACTGCCTCCCTACAAGAGCGAGCAGAGGAGGTATACTCCTCTTTGGTAATCTCTCCCTGTTTCCACTTTTTTATATGCTCCCCTTTTCGCTCTCCATGAGGTGAAGTTGAACCCAATGGCCCTGTCTCTCATCTGCATATAATTTTTTAGAGCATCCCAGGACTTGTGACAAGAACACCTGGTTTTAGGTATGAGTGGGGGCTAATTAGCATGTGGCTCCTTTGTTGGGGGTGTCTAGAGTACACATAACTCCTTTAACATACTGAGCAGTGCTGAGCCGTGAAGTCTCTGTGGCTTGAACTATGTAGTAAATCATGAGCCTCTCGCTTTGGAATAATGTCATGTATAGTTTGTATTACATATAAGTAGATGCTAAAGAATACTGAAGAGTGCTTATGGAGTACCTGTGCTAAACCTTGCAGCAGTTTAAAAACAAGGTAACATGCATCAATTTTGGATATACTAAGTGCATGGGTACCATATGCAAATTATTACAGTCATGCTTAATTTCAAGGTTATTGTTTTCAGATTTGCCCCTCACTTCCATGTGCTCATGGAGAGCAGGGTCTGACAGTAAAGAGAAGGGGAAGGGGCTGCCAGGGGAAAAAGTTGTGGGGGAAGCAGAAAGTAAAGGGCTACCTCACCCCTCAGGTTTATTTTCCTTGTTGCAGCAGTGGGAGGGGGACAAATTCAAAGCAAACCTCCCATAATTAGATTCTGTGCCTGGAAAATTATAACAAATTTATAAATTTTCCATATCTAGAATCTAATTATTGGGGGGTTATCTTATAATCAGGGTCATCTTCTATTCAAGTAAATACATTAACTAGAATTTTGTAGCTGTTGCAAAAGTGTTCAAATAAAAGTTGCTAACAAACTTCAGTGGCACTTGCAGCTCCTTTAATGCACTTTCTAAAAATATTCAGCGGTTTTTGGTCACCAGATCTTCATGAAAATGAAGTTTTATGACTTTTGAAATCAATTAATTAGCCTGTGCCAATCTCCCTGCTGCAATGGCAAGAATGCTCCTAGTACCCAAGATATCTCCTTTAAAGTTAACATGGGTATCTCTATGCTACACTGCAGTGTGAAGGGTAGACATATTGTTAGGTGACCAAATTGCACACCTACACATATTGAATCCAAAGAGCCAATGTCATAGGCTCCCACTCTGCAATCTGTGCATGTGAACCTCTATGACATCATGGACTTCCAAGGAAGTCAGTAGGGCTAAGAGATGTACAGTGGTCTGGAATTACTTGCAGGATCAGGATTTAAGCTGAAGTGCATGAGTTGTGAACACCAGCTAGCCTATAATACATTTGGAGAAATTCTCTGTTGATCCAGCTTGGATGATATATTTTATAAATCAAATTATGATCATGGAAAATCCACTGACTTTAATTAAGTTAAATCAGAGAAGGTTTTGACCTGTCACTTGTCATTCTTAGCAAAAGGTTTTTCTTCAGCTAGAGTAGCTTACAAGTGTTGTTCTAAGGAGGACTACCAAAGTCAATATATTTGTTTTCCTTTAACAATACAGTCATAAGCCTTGCTAATTCTATCAGCACTAAAAATGATATCTGTGTAGTTGTCTACCTCGATTTCAAAATGAAAAAGCATTTTCAAAACTAAAGCCCATTCTATTCATTAAAAGGTGTTACAATACATAAAGAAAAATGGTGCTGTTTGGATGTATCAGAAAAATAGTTAAAATCCATGTCATGTGTCCACACACACACACACACACACACACACACACACACACACACACACACACACACAGAGTGGGCATTTATACACAGGACTGATTTAAAGGGATGTAAACAGAATGGTATTTTTTTTGAGGAGCTGCTTAGTTTTTCATTGACTCTTAAACTTTTCCATTGTTCTCATGAATATGCAATATGACTATTAGCTAAATTTTAAAGATAAGTATTTACAAAGTTATTCATTATAATGGAAATGCTGCAAATCATTATTCAAAGAGAGGGGTGTGCATGTGTGTAATCTACTACTTGTAATTGTAATATACATATTTTTGTGATTAGCAAGAGAAACATCAAATGGTCTGAGATTTGAGTTGAGTTTGACAGAAAATCTGGAAGTTTATCTAAACACTTTTCCTCTGAAAACTGGGCTGAAATCCATGAAGTCATAGTTTCTTATAATTATATTGTTACACTTGCATTTATATCTTTAAGGTATGATACAAACATAATCATTAAATATTAACAAGAGCCCTCCAGGGGAGATGCAGATAAACACCTGTCTGTATTCCAAATTTAAAGATGAAGAAATTGATGTGTACACAGGCTTTGTCTGAAGATGTCACTGAATACATTGATTTCTATGTGACCTCTGTTGTGCAGACAACTCA